CATTCCTGAAAGAAAACAAGGACATCTGAGTGATTACTTGAGCTATCCATTTACTGATAATCACTACTGTGCTAAGCATCGATCCCTGCAGTAAATGGGATTGGATATAGGGTAAGGTCTACAGAAATATGAGCAAATAAAATAAGCAGTAAGAGTCAGAATAAAGTTAGGTAAAAAGTAATGCTAAGGAAATAGCTGGACTGTCTAACAGGAAGCAGTGAACACAAAAAAAGGTTTCTTAGAAACAGAGACTCCCAAACTGGTTCCAAGCAGGCCAAAGGGCTTACAGAAAGCAGTCAGTATAAACTAAAGAACAGAATGCGGCAAGTATTGACTGCATGACTCTGGAGATCAAGGTTCTAGTCTTCACTTCGCCATGCATTACATATGATCTGGGGAAGGCTCCCTTTCTTTCTTTCTGGCAACTGTCTCTGCATCTTCCTTCACTCCCCTCTCCAATCATAGGACACATGCACTCACCAGAGAGAGAGAAATCAATCCCTGGGGAGATGGCCATACCACAATACCTTCTCCTCTTAGGATTTTGGATACACATGTACACATGCCCACTGTGATTTTCAAGCTGCCAGGTCCAGGTCTCAAACCAGGGTCGGACATGTGGGAGTCCAACACCTTAACCATAACGCCACCTGATGGACCCAGTTTCCACATCTCTTTGATTAGGGTCTAGTAAAGCTCATGGCTTGTATGAGCCCACAATACTAGGATCGACTTATTTTTACCAAGGATTTCACTGGATTCTTTTTTCTTTTTTGGAGAGGTTTTTGCTATAGGGCACGTGTGCTCGCCAGACAGAGAGAGACAGAGAGACAGAAAGCGAGAAATCACCCCCCAGGGGGATGGTCACGCTGCAATCTCTTCTCCATTCTCCTCTCAGGATCTTGGGCATGCATGCACATGCGCCCGGCGTGAGTTCTAAGCCACCAGGTCCGGGACGCGAACCGCGGTTGACTATGTGGGAGTCCAGTGACATAGCCATTACGCCAACTGCTGGTTCCCTCACTGGATTCTTAAAAACACAAACTTTTTACTCTTAACTCTAATTTTAAAAAAACTTTAAGAATTTGCTATAAGATTTGTTCACAGGACCAGCAGGTGGCATGGTGGTTGAAGTGCTGTACTACCTCATGGAGGACCACAGTTCAAGTCCCAGACCTGGAGGTTTGCTTTCTCACTTTCTCTTTCTCCCTCTCTCTCATCAAATTAAAAAAAAAAATTTTTTTTTTGTGCACTTGTTGGAGAGAGAGAGAGAAAGAGAAAGCGAGAAAGCATCCTGGGGAGATGGCTATGAAGCAACCCCTTCTCCTTTATTTTCCTCTCAGGATTTTATGCCCCACTTGTCTTTTAAGCCATCTACTCTGGGATTTGAACAGTAGACTTGGACAGGGAGTATCCAGCCACCCTAACCATCATGCTACTGGCTGATCTCTCTCTCTTTTTTCATTTTGTTACAGGGCATATGTGTATGAGTGAGATACAGAGATAGAGAGAGAGAAAGAGGGTGAGTGGGAGGAAAAGGAAAAGTGAGAAATCACCCCCTGGGGAGATAGCCATACTACAGTCTTTTTTCCTCTGGTCTCCTATTGGGATTTTGGGGACATGCATGCACCCATGCCCAGCATAATTTTTTTCAAGTCACTGGGTCTGGGACTCAAACCGTGCAGTCTGGCTGATCTAATTCCTACTCTTGGGTGTTTGAACTCATGGTCCAGTATAAGCAGATTTACATATGCCTCCAGTTTAAATAATCTAAATCTCAAAGACATCTCAAACATTTCACAGAATCACAGAGATTGCTAAAAAGTTTGTTTTCAGAGTACATTTTATTTTATTTTTAGGCAATTCTCACTATGTCACAATCTTTCTACCTTAGCCTGAGTAACTGAGACTACAGGCTCATGACCCTATATCCAGCTTTCAGAGTAGGCTTGGAATCAAAACCAGAACTTCTATGTGGCTTCAGTCTTTTGATTATCAAGAAGCATCAATGGATGTGCTTCTGCAGCTGGGCCTGAGTCCACCATATTGCAAACAAAAAAAAACAGAGATAGGTCCCAGAAAATCCAAAACAAAGATTCATAGTTTCATGAGTCTGAATCCTCAGTACTCCGCTCAGAGCTGATCACCTAATGGCTGTTGAATAAATATTCTGTGTGACTGAACAGCTGTGGAATGAGTGACAAGAGAAACAAACAGAAGAAGGGCCATATCACCCCAGGCAGTGTGGTGGCTCACATTCAAGATCAGCTGACCTAGAGATCAAGGGGATGAGGTGCAGATGTCCAGAATAGAGCTTACAAATGAAAAATTATAAGGTTAAAATATAAATGATCCATTTATATTTCTTTTTTTCCCCTAAGGTGCATGCACGTGCCAGAGAGATAAGAGTTAGAGTGGAGGAAGCACTCCCCATGGGGAATGGTCACACTGTAATCCCTTCTACTCCACCTGTTCCTCCTTTAAGAATTTTGGGCATGCGTGCATGCCCATACACCAGCCTTTTTCAAAAGCCCCTTGGTCTGGGACTTGAAGCAAATGGTTGCCATGTGGAATGTGGTTGCCTAATCACCAGGCCAGAGAGCCAGTATAGTTAAACAACCATCTGAGCTCACCCTCATCTGAGCTTGAAGAAAGCTGAAGGGAATCAGAAGGCTGACTTAAGATCTTCTATTTATTTATTTATTTTTGATAAATGCTTGCTTTTTATTGATAAAGAATTATTTATTTCAATTTATTATTATTATTATTATTAATTTGCTATAGATCATATATGCTCACCAGAGAGAGAGAGACAGAGAGAGGTAAAGTGAGAAAGCAAGATGTCAGGCCCAGGACTTAAACTGCAGTTTATCACATGTGGGAGGCCAGCGCCTTAACCACCATGCCACCTGCTGGCAACATGCTTCTTTTTAATAATTTACCAGTTCTCTTTTTTTGAGAATTATTTTATTTTATTTATTATTATCATTATTTATTTTTAACCTGCTATTGTTATCAGAGAGACAGAGAGCGAGAGAGGATAAAAGTGAGAAAGCCAGCTGTGAGGTCTGAGACTCAAACTGCAGTTGGCCATGAGGTAGTCCAGTGCCCTAACCACCACACCACCTGCTGGCCCTTGACTTGAGATCTTAAAGTACTTTTCGGCCTTCTATAGCATAGAGCCTGACACACTGCAGAGACTAAATAAATGTCTGTTGAGAATATGAACATGTTGGATACATCACTCAGCTCTACTATTCTTGAAATGGAAGAACATCTATGCTTTCTCTTCTAGAATGGACAATCATCTACGTGGAGAAGACAGATAAACTGTTAGTCAGATGCCAAGAAAGAGAAGGCCACATGGCATATACCAGCTTCTCAAAGAGGGTTCTTTTCCATTTAATCACTTCAAAGTCCTGGTCTCAGCACTTTGGATGCAAAGTCACCCAGGGAGAAAGCCACCCAGAGGAGACAAAGAAGACCAATGGTGACTAATCACTGCACAGCTACTGGTAAGGGAGGGCTACAAAAAGTCTCTAAAGAGAACCAATTATCTGAATGGCAAAGAAATGGAGCAAGCACTATCTTAGCTCTCACAGAATGGTCATACTTCTAAACTGTAAAAATCTGTCCTATAGATTTCATCACTTGCCTGCTATAATCCTTCAATGGTGGGACCGGCAGATGGTGTACTGGCTACGTTGCTGGACTCCCATGTAGTCGACCATGGTTCAAGTCCCGGACCTGGTAGCTTAAACTCATGCTGAGAGTGTGTGCGTGCATGCCCAAGATCCCAAGAGGAGAACAGAGGAGAAGGGATTGTGGCGTGGCCATCCCCCCTGGGGTGTGTGTGTGTGTGTGTGATTTCTCACTTTCTGTCTCTCTGTCTTTCTGGCAAGCACATGCGCCCTATAGCAAAAACGACTCCCCCAAATTACCAAGGATTTCACTGGATTCTTTTTTCTTTTTTGGAGAGGTTTTTGCTATAGGGCACGTGTGCTCGCCAGACAGAGAGAGACAGAGAGACAGAAAGCGAGAAATCACCCCCCAGGGGGATGGTCACGCTGCAATCTCTTCTCCATTCTCCTCTCAGGCTCTTGGGCATGCATGCACATGCGCCCGGCGTGAGTTCTAAGCCACCAGGTCCGGGACGCGAACCGCGGTTGACTATGTGGGAGTCCAGTGACATAGCCATTACGCCAACTGCTGGTTCCCTCACTGGATTCTTAAAAACACAAACTTTTTACTCTTAACTCTAATTTTAAAAAAACTTTAAGAATTTGCTATAAGATTTGTTCACAGGACCAGCAGGTGGCATGGTGGTTGAAGTGCTGTACTACCTCATGGAGGACCACAGTTCAAGTCCCAGACCTGGAGGTTTGCTTTCTCACTTTCTCTTTCTCCCTCTCTCTCATCAAATTAAAAAAAAAAATTTTTTTTTTGTGCACTTGTTGGAGAGAGAGAGAGAAAGAGAAAGCGAGAAAGCATCCTGGGGAGATGGCTATGAAGCAACCCCTTCTCCTTTATTTTCCTCTCAGGATTTTATGCCCCACTTGTCTTTTAAGCCATCTACTCTGGGATTTAAACAGTGCAGTTGGACAGGTAGGATCCAGCCACCCTAACCATCATGCTACTGGCTGATCTCTCTCTCTTTTTTCATTTTGTTACAGGGCATATGTGTATGAGTGAGATACAGAGATAGAGAGAGAGAAAGAGGGTGAGTGGGAGGAAAAGGAAAAGTGAGAAATCACCCCCTGGGGAGATAGCCATACTACAGTCTTTTTTCCTCTGGTCTCCTATTGGGATTTTGGGGACATGCATGCACCCATGCCCAGCATAATTTTTTTCAAGTCACTGGGTCTGGGACTCAAACCGTGCAGTCTGGCTGATCTAATTCCTACTCTTGGGTGTTTGAACTCATGGTCCAGTATAAGCAGATTTACATATGCCTCCAGTTTAAATAATCTAAATCTCAAAGACATCTCAAACATTTCACAGAATCACAGAGATTGCTAAAAAGTTTGTTTTCAGAGTACATTTTATTTTATTTTTAGGCAATTCTCACTATGTCACAATCTTTCTACCTTAGCCTGAGTAACTGAGACTACAGGCTCATGACCCTATATCCAGCTTTCAGAGTAGGCTTGGAATCAAAACCAGAACTTCTATGTGGCTTCAGTCTTTTGATTATCAAGAAGCATCAATGGATGTGCTTCTGCAGCTGGGCCTGAGTCCACCATATTGCAAACAAAAAAAAACAGAGATAGGTCCCAGAAAATCCAAAACAAAGATTCATAGTTTCATGAGTCTGAATCCTCAGTACTCCGCTCAGAGCTGATCACCTAATGGCTGTTGAATAAATATTCTGTGTGACTGAACAGCTGTGGAATGAGTGACAAGAGAAACAAACAGAAGAAGGGCCATATCACCCCAGGCAGTGTGGTGGCTCACATTCAAGATCAGCTGACCTAGAGATCAAGGGGATGAGGTGCAGATGTCCAGAATAGAGCTTACAAATGAAAAATTATAAGGTTAAAATATAAATGATCCATTTATATTTCTTTTTTTCCCCTAAGGTGCATGCACGTGCCAGAGAGATAAGAGTTAGAGTGGAGGAAGCACTCCCCATGGGGAATGGTCACACTGTAATCCCTTCTACTCCACCTGTTCCTCCTTTAAGAATTTTGGGCATGCGTGCATGCCCATACACCAGCCTTTTTCAAAAGCCCCTTGGTCTGGGACTTGAAGCAAATGGTTGCCATGTGGAATGTGGTTGCCTAATCACCAGGCCAGAGAGCCAGTATAGTTAAACAACCATCTGAGCTCACCCTCATCTGAGCTTGAAGAAAGCTGAAGGGAATCAGAAGGCTGACTTAAGATCTTCTATTTATTTATTTATTTTTGATAAATGCTTGCTTTTTATTGATAAAGAATTATTTATTTCAATTTATTATTATTATTATTATTAATTTGCTATAGATCATATATGCTCACCAGAGAGAGAGAGACAGAGAGAGGTAAAGTGAGAAAGCAAGATGTCAGGCCCAGGACTTAAACTGCAGTTTATCACATGTGGGAGGCCAGCGCCTTAACCACCATGCCACCTGCTGGCAACATGCTTCTTTTTAATAATTTACCAGTTCTCTTTTTTTGAGAATTATTTTATTTTATTTATTATTATCATTATTTATTTTTAACCTGCTATTGTTATCAGAGAGACAGAGAGCGAGAGAGGATAAAAGTGAGAAAGCCAGCTGTGAGGTCTGAGACTCAAACTGCAGTTGGCCATGAGGTAGTCCAGTGCCCTAACCACCACACCACCTGCTGGCCCTTGACTTGAGATCTTAAAGTACTTTTCGGCCTTCTATAGCATAGAGCCTGACACACTGCAGAGACTAAATAAATGTCTGTTGAGAATATGAACATGTTGGATACATCACTCAGCTCTACTATTCTTGAAATGGAAGAACATCTATGCTTTCTCTTCTAGAATGGACAATCATCTACGTGGAGAAGACAGATAAACTGTTAGTCAGATGCCAAGAAAGAGAAGGCCACATGGCATATACCAGCTTCTCAAAGAGGGTTCTTTTCCATTTAATCACTTCAAAGTCCTGGTCTCAGCACTTTGGATGCAAAGTCACCCAGGGAGAAAGCCACCCAGAGGAGACAAAGAAGACCAATGGTGACTAATCACTGCACAGCTACTGGTAAGGGAGGGCTACAAAAAGTCTCTAAAGAGAACCAATTATCTGAATGGCAAAGAAATGGAGCAAGCACTATCTTAGCTCTCACAGAATGGTCATACTTCTAAACTGTAAAAATCTGTCCTATAGATTTCATCACTTGCCTGCTATAATCCTTCAATGGTGGGACCGGCAGATGGTGTACTGGCTACGTTGCTGGACTCCCATGTAGTCGACCATGGTTCAAGTCCCGGACCTGGTAGCTTAAACTCATACTGAGAGTGTGTGCGTGCATGCCCAAGATCCCAAGAGGAGAACAGAGGAGAAGGGATTGTGGCGTGGCCATCCCCCCTGGGGTGTGTGTGTGTGTGTGTGATTTCTCACTTTCTGTCTCTCTGTCTTTCTGGCAAGCACATGCGCCCTATAGCAAAAACGACTCCCCCAAAACCAAAAACCCTTCCATGGCTTCTCATTATAGCAGGAAAAAACCCAGAAGCTATGTCATCACCTATAGGACCTGAATATTCTGTACCTTGACCATTTTCATATCTTTCTACTGCTCACCATGCCTCCTTCTCTTTGTTACTAGTACACATGAAGCTCTTTCTTATCTTAGGCCTCCACAATAGCTCTTGCTGTTGCTGGATGTTTTACCCATAGCTAGCTCCTTCTTAGGTCTTCTTAGGTCTTGGCTCATACTTTACTACCCAGACTACATTATTTAATAAGTCTTCCCATCCTATTTATCTGTTAGTCTTCCCTATAGCCTCTGAGAGGTAGGGACCCTGTTTATCTTGTTCCCAATACCAAATCACCATGCCTAGCATAACTATAGGTGGGCATACACATCTGTGAAATAAAGTAATTGGGTAGAGTACTTAGGTACCTTATCATAGATGCCAGTGATTCTCCCTCTCTGAAAACTCTCATTGTCTCTCCACCAATACCACTCTCTCTTGCTGTTCTAACTGTCCCGAATCTCTATGGTAGACTACTCTCTTCTGCCCATCCCTCATTCAGCTAGCCATCCAGATTTTGACTCACATCTCAATCTGTTTCTGCATATATCTAAAGACAAACAAAAATCAACAGATGAAAGTGACTTTTTCATCATTTTTGCATTCTAGGTATCACATCATATCTCCAACATACACCTAGTCTCTCATATCAGAAAGCTTTATATTCTTTGGGACCAGCAGATGGCGTAATGGTTACATCGTTGAACTCTCACAGAGCTGACCATGGTTCAAGTCCCAGACCCGGTGGCTTAAAACTCACGCTGGGAGTGTGTGCATGTATACCAAAGATTCCAAGAGAAGAATGGAGGAGAAGGGACTGCGGCGTGGCCATCCCCACTGGGGGGATTACTCTCTTTCTGTTTCTCTGTCTCGTCAGCAGGTAGACACGCCCTATAGCAAAATTCTCTCTTAAAAAAAAGAAAGAAACCTTTAGATTCTTCCTTCATCTCTACCTCTCCAAATTCATTCTCCAAATGGTTCTTCCTAAGCTAATACCTACAACAGACTTTACTGATAGTATCCTCTTTTCCACTGAATCTAGAGACTCCCTGATAGTGTCCCAGGCAACTACAATCAAACAGAATTGAGACTGGAAAATCCACTTTCTTCTTTTTTTTATTTCTTTTTGGCAGAGTTTTTGCGATAGGACACGTGCACTCACCAGAAATAGAGACAGAGATACAGAAAGTGAGAAATCACCCCCAGGGAGGATGGCCACACTGCAATCCCTTCTCCTCCATTCTCCTCTCGGGATCCTGAGCATGCATGCACACGCGCCTAGTGTGAGTTTAAGCCACCGGGTCCAGGACTCGAACCACAGTCGACTACACAGGAGCCCAGCGTCATAGCCATTATGCCAACTGCTGGTCCCTCCACTTTCTTCTTCTATTTCTAATACCAAATTGCTTATAGTTCCCTGCATACACTCTACCATTGTTTTTTTCCACTTGACTGGAAGATTTACAACTCCCATAGGTTGACATGAAGCTTGACCTGAATCCCCAAGTCAATTACACTTTCCCAAACACTATACATCCTATACTTCATTATAAGTTTATTGATATTTCCATAATCCTTTGTTACCACTAAACTAAGCTCTTCAGAGCATAAGATCATTTATTATTCAATCTTCAGTGTTTGTGAGCAGAGTCCACAGAGGTATATACTATCTTTAACAGGGTGAGTTTTCAGTCTCTCTGGAATGAGGTAATCTCAGAGAAGAGTATTTTCTTCAGTGACCCTTTAAATCTACCTTCTTTACATACTTGGAAGACTAATTTCAAAAACGAATTGAGAGACAGGCGTCCGTATCAATTCATCCTGCAAGTCTGACAGAAAAAAAGTTTTTCAAATTTGTACTACCTTTACTTCACTGTTCAAACCATCAGTGGCATTCACATAGATTCATGGCCTTGGTTTTCTTGTCATTGTGTTGCTGGCATTTCCCTAATCTCCCAACATTATGTATGCAAAAGCTAGGAAGGCAGCCAAGAAGCTGGATGCAGCTCCCCATTGTGATGCCAGGCAGATGATTACAAGGATCAGATATATCTGCACTTGCACAGATTCTAATAAGAAACCTGGTGATGAAGCTGAAGGGCAGAGTAGTAGGAAGCAGGAAATCCCTGTTCAGCTACTTGGTTATCATCTCTACCTCTCTGAGCCTGTTCCTTACCTGGTAATTGGAGACACAAGATATAGGTTCCCTTTCTAGGCCTATCCCTATCTTACAGCCCCAACTATAGTTTAGATATGTTAGGGGTAAGGGAGGAGACTGTAAGAGAGGGAAAAAGACTTTTAGAAGTCTGGAGAAGTTAAATGACTATCCTCTCTCAGGCAGACAATACTTTAAAATACAGATTTTTAAAAAAAGAATTATTTTTTATTTAATTTTATTCATTGTCATTATTATTTATATATATATACATATATGTGTGTGTGTATATATATATATATATATATAGTCTAAATAACCCAAATAAAATGCAGACATTATCAAATGGATAAAACTAAATGACAAAAATAAAGTTTTCCTATAAAAAGTCAATTAATAAAGTGATATAAGTAAGTTAATACTAAGGGTTTAGAGAAATATATCATGGAAACACCTATAAAGAGATAACTGATATTACTAAATGAATATCAAAATAGGTCTTGGGGAACCAGCAGTTAGCGTAATGACTATATTACTGGATTCCCAGGTAGCTGACCGCGGTTCATGTCCCGCGGTTCACATCCAGGTGGCTTAAAACTCACACTGGACACGTGTGCGTGCGTGCCCAAGATCCCGAGAGGAGAATGGAAGAGAAGGGATTGCAGTGTGGCCATCCCCCCTAGGGGGTGATTTCTCACTTTCCATCTCTCTGTCTCTGTCTGTCTGGCAAGCGCAGGAGCCCTATAGCCAAAAAA